GTTGAAGTGTTACAAAATATGAAATCGATAATAAAACAAATTCAAATTAGGGTTTCCACATGCTCATATTCTATGGAAAATTACGTTATTCAAATTTGGAGGGCTCTAGGTACCGTTATTTTATCGTAATGCGAGAAACATGCATACATTCATGCAGATTCTTCACTATTTAATTTATTTAAATATAAAACAGGGCTGCAAATATTTGGTGGCAACAATTTGAAAAGTGAAACAACGCGTATCGTGAATCGACGCAAAATGGCAAAACGAAATTAATAGTCCTTCTGGGCAAATTACCCCTTTGGACTAATAAATTAGTGTAATTTGGATTGCAGCTAGGTGAGGCGACGGTTAATAATAAGGCAGCGCATTTGATATGCTATGTACGGTTTACAGATGGTAATAATATTAAAGACCTTCTGTTTTCTAAATATATTACTGAAGGAGCGAAGGCTCAGGACCTGTTCGAGATTATTGACGCATTCATACCTGAAATAACATAAATTGGCCTAAGTGCATTGGTGTCTGTACTGATGGAACTTGCTCCATGTTTGGCTGCTATGGAGGATTACAGGCATTTATTCGAAGCAAATTGCCAAATGCAGTGTGAACATATTGCATTATTCATGGAAAAGCACTTGCATCAAATCATCTGCGTCTTGTACTGAATCAGGTATTAGAATGTGTAGTTAATGTGGTAAATTTTATAAAACGTCGCCTGAGTGAGCCTAAGGCTGCTATCACACATCAGTTTGTTTCGGAAGAACGACGGTTTGGAACAATTTTTCTGCTCAATCACCACAGGTCACTTTGGGGTTAACCCAGGATAAACTGGTTCTCCGACAAACAAGCTGATAGCTGATTGGTTGAAAACGTACAACTTGCAATTTTTTTCGAAAGGAAGGAAAAAATGGCGCATCTTTCTTTTTATAGTAAACCAAGCAGAAAAATTATCCGAAGCAGTTGTTCGTATGAAACAAATGCATGTGTGATATAGAACTTAGTGAGGATACGGGAGCCGAACGCTCGTGTTTGTTGTACGGTGCACGATAGCTCAATTTTGGTAATATTTTATCACGAACCTTTGAAATGCGGCAAAAAAATTTTTATTTTCTTTAAAGAGGAAGGATATAAAGGTGTGGGAGATTTTGCTAATGCCTTTTTAAATGAAACTGACATATTGATGCAACATTTTTGAAAATGCTCTCCTGTGTGCAGAGAACCTTTTGAAGTTCACGGAAAAAAATATCAGCTTTTATTAAAAAAGAAACTGAGGAAAAAAAAAAAAAAAAAAAAAAACCTGAATGAAGATGCAGGCAAAGACTGTTTATTAATATTGCGGACTATTTTTGACGTCAAATGAACTCGATCTTCCTATAGATATAAAAAACCATGTTTGAAGAGCGCTTATCGCAGCTAATTGTATGGTTTGATAAATGTCAGGTTTGCATGGATTCAAGATCTGCTTAACATTAGCCTTACGTCTGTGGAAGAAGAGAATCTTATCGAGTTATCTTGCGACAACAGTTTCAAACCAAAATTTAGGAGCCTGAAATTGAGAGAATTTTAGATTTCAATTAAAGAGGAATACTCCTTTTAAGTGATAAGGTTCAGCGGATTTTAATTCCATGTTAGATGTCGTATTTGTGCTAAGCTGAGTTTTCGGCGATCGTTGTGACAAATAGGAAGTATAGAGCAAAAAATCAATATGGAAAAGGAAATGAGGGTGGCCGTGTCCAGTTTAACTCCACGATTTGAGAAAATGTGCTGTGATCTCCTGAATTATTAATTTAATGTTAATAAAGTAAGAAAATGTTAAATAAGGAAGATCCATGAGTTTTCTTTATTTTTATCTGTTTCTTACGATTAGTCATACATTTACTTACGGTAGGGCGCCATTAAAATATTTGCAAATTTTTAAGAATTCCTTTAAAGTCGGCTATTTTTCAATACATTTAATTCTTTTCAAATTTCATATGTGTACTTTCACACACACGCGAAATAAATAAATAAATGAAAATAATAAATAAATAAAATTTTCAATTTTATCATCAAAACATAACAGTTAACCACTTAACCAAAAAGCAGAAAAGATTGACCTTAAAATAAATAAAATAGCCAGTACCAATCCTAGACCGTCGATCGCCCACGGGCAAATTAAAACTGGCTGCCCTGTTTCACAGAAATTATATGTTTGATAATCATTTCGCCGCCCTTAAATTTGGTCGCCCACATGCTGTGCATCAATTTTTCCCCCGCTAGGATCGTCCCTGAAAATAGTGATAAAATATATAAACAGACATATATATTGAAACATCAGACTCAAATATTCTATTTATTTTAACTACAATCATTTTATATTGATTAATAATTACATTTTATGTTAATAAAAGCCATATGTCCTTTTATTCATGTAGGCTCTTATCAGAGTGGGCTTTTATCTATATGCACTTTCATCCGTATAGGTAAATTATCACATTGGGGGTATATTTGTGGGATTTCTGTAGTGCACGCTTTCGTCCAATGGGCTATTATTAGGCAACCGTTCTCTTAGACGTCTGGTCGTACCTATAGTCAAGTGCCTATAGTCGACGCAAATGTAAAAAATCATTTCTGTACCGCTGATTGGAACACGCAGATATTACAAAAAGTGTCTCTGCCCGATGCACAGTGGAAAAGCTGGACGTTGGACGTCCAGCTTTTCCACTGTGCATCGGCTAACCAGGCGACGTTGGACGGGTAGATCTCGATCTTGTTTCGAAGACAAAGTTCTTTTTATTATTTCAATATAACAGCTTGAAGAGGTTGCAACATGGTAATTTTGGGGTTTTCTCAATGCTCCATGATGGAAAATTTTCAAATCGTTTTACACTTCTATAAGTTTGCTTCTTCGAGTGTGCAAACACTGGAGTACCTGGTCTGTAGCAACCTACCTCCATCGAGTAAATAGTTACTTTTAAATTTACCGCGAAGCTGTGGAGGTGCTCCCAAATGTTGAGGAATGACAAAAGTTCTAAGGATTAAAATACCGCGATCACTTAGGACTTATTATGCAAAACGCAAAATCTAAAGTGGTGAGGGAGGAGACAGTTTTTATCTCCCATTCTACAAGGCCGATTGACGAAATTCAAATTGCTTTTTCCATGTCTCAAAAGCTCGACTAAGGATATATATTAGATTTATATATAGCATTGTTCTAACATAGGCATTTTGAGTCAAAATCGGTCTTCTTCTGAAATAACATACCATTTTTTTTACATATTTCAATTTTAAGACTCAAATTATGCCTAGATATTAAATTTTGTGATTTTTGGTGAGAAATTTATGGATAAATTTAAAAATTTTTCTTGGAGAATTTTTTCAGTTGCGCCAAGAATAATTCACTTGGCGAACTTCTTAATTTATAGCAACCTGTTTTCTTTTCCTTTTTCTTCATTGCCCACGCACGGAAAAAAATTCATTGTTCACACTTTCAAATAATTTTAACAAAGTGCGTAAACCATATTTTTATTATTCTCGCTTATAATAAATACGCCAAATTTTAAAACGCGCCAAAATCTAAATTCATGTATATCTTAGAAAATTTAGAACAAAAAACTCTATTTTTTTTTTTTGCAGGCATGCTTAGAAATACTTAAAGATGCTGGCAAAACCTTTATAGGTTATAATTGAAATTTTTTTTCGAAAAATTTATAAAAATTATTTTAAAATACGAATTTTAAATATAAATCATAAGAAGTAGGCAAATTTTATTTGGAATGAATCCAAATTTCGAAATATGAAAGGAAGAACCAAATAAGTTTAATAAAAAAAAAAGATATCAATAAATATATATCAAATTCATTTAGCATTGAGGAGCTAAAATTTTGAGAGCTAATTTTTTAAAAACTACTCGGGCGATTTTTACAAAACTTGGCATTGAGTCGTAGAATCGAAATATGAAAAAAAATTGGCATGTCATTTCAGAAAAAGTCAGATTTTGTGTCGAAATATTTACATTAGAGCAATGCTATAAATCTAATACGTATACTAAGTCGCGCTTTCAAGTTTTGAGAAACGAAAAGTTGAATTTCGTCAGTCGGCCCAGTAGAACGGGAGATATAGAACTGCCCCCCTTATTTTTCACACTGTACAAATACACACCACATACAAAATTACCAGGTACGATACAAAAATAATGAACTACTGATAACTTCAGGTGAAATAACCACATTAACTGAAGAAATATTTTAAATGGAACTCCGCGAAGTTTTGCCATTGAAGATTTCTTCAAGTATACTAAATAATACAAATATCTTGTCAATAAGAGTTTCTCTTATTTCATTAAGTCTACTAATGATAATTTTGATTACATCAAGAATCGAAAATTACTTGCGGCCCACCAGCGGCCGAGCGGTAAAGTCGCTGAACACTGGTAGTTCGGTCCGAGGTTCGAATCCCGCGAACGGGCTGGCTGCATTGGCGTTTTCGTGGTTTTCCCCCATGTGTAACGTGTATACGAGCCAGTTTCCCTTAGAAAGTCCTCCACGAAGGCATCCCTCCCCGTAGGCAGATAGCTCTCGAGGCTCTGCCATAATCACACACACACACACACACACGAAAATTACTTGCAACTTACATAAGTGATTTTCAGTGGTGGAAACAGAATTCTGAAGAAGCTTTTTCTGAAACCATGACGTCATCCTTATGAAAAATGCATTTTTCTTCAGATGACTATATTTAGAAGTGACTGATTTCAGCCCTCAGAAGTGAAAAAAACTTACTAAGAACGGCCAACACTGACTCTATGGGTGGTAGAGTCAATGTTATTTTGAAAAAAACTTCTATTTCGAAAAGCCGAAAAACCTCCTGCTCTCAACTCCATGAACAAATTAGATTGCCGTTTTTGCATCAAAAACTAAAATCTTTAGTTATGCACAATTTTTTGCTTTTCCATATTTCTTATTTTTATTTTAGTTTTCGCGGTAGAGGTTTTAAAGTTTTTTTTTTTTTTTGTTAAATTATCTTCCGCTTACCATCTGGCAATGTTGTCATAATGAAATAATGGCAGCTTCCGTCGTGGGCGTGATTCGTTCAAAAAACAATCCGCCGAAATTACCGCCTTTGCCCGATTTTGAAAGCTTTAACAATAAATCTATGAACGTAAGCCCTCTTTTGTGTGAATATGTTTAGTTTCACCATAATAAAAGTCTATATACAGTGATAGTAGCTTATTTTGATTTAAAATGCTCATCTTAAATTCTAATTTTTCTTTCATTTGCTTATAAAAACCTTCAAAATTTGCTATGGGATCCAGGTATCTTAAAAAGTATCATTGTCTCATTCATTTACCAATTAAAGAGTTAATAATTCATATTATAGTGTTAGGTTTTCGGTGTTATAAGTATATTTTGGAAGCGTCTAGATTTGAGAAACTTGTCAATTATTCTATTTTCTTCTCATTTTCTGATTAACGAAATTATTGTGTTAAGAAAGTAAGTTTGCCTTATATCTGAAGGAAACTCAAGTTTTTCTAGACTCTAAATTGGTTTGAAAAATAATTTGACGTTTGATTTCTCATTATTGACGTTTAAGTTTCATCCTTACTTTTCTAATACTTATAAGAATTTGACAGAATTATGTTAGTTTAGTAAGCATTTTTATAGTGCTGTTTGTCAAGGGGAAGCTGATTCTGAACATGGCAGCAACAAATAATTGCTTCAAATTTCAAAGAATGCATTACAAATTAATATGGGTATAGAATTTCTCAATACATATGTACTTTTAAAACTTTTTTAAAAGGTCAATAAAAATGCACATTTAAGAAACGTAATTGTACAATAAATAAAATTGTACATTTAGAAATGCAAGTTTATTTTACTTCTTGGTCATTGATTGTAATCATAATGGTGGCAGTTTTTTTATTTTTTTATTTTTTATACTGAATTGTAAATTACTTCTTTAAATGTCTAATAGACCTTATAATTCTTTATTCTCTTTAACTCTATATACAAGTCCATTTACATGCATTTAGAGGCTTTTAATAATTCATAATTGCATGTTCAAGTTTGCTTGCATCAGATATGTAGTCTTCAAAATATTGTCATAATGTTTCACAGCTTCTAAATTTTAAAAAATCTACTCTTCACTTCAGGTGTCATCCACCAGAACATTTTTGGGAAGTTGATTAGAAGTTAGTTTAGAAATGGGTGTTAGTCAGGAATAGGGTTCTATATCTAGTTCAATAAGATCAGTTCTAATTCATGTCACATCAATTTCAGATGCTAATCTATAGGAAGAAGAATGCAATGAAATATTAACTATAAACCAGTAGTGTAAAAGCTTCAAATTTTATACATCTTTTAGACACATTTATAAATACACCTTTTGATCAGCTTTTATATTGATGAAATAAGTATATTTCATGTGATGTATCAGATGTAAATTTTATGTGGAGTATATGTACTCTTATTACGTATATTTGATTTTTTTTTTTTTTTTTTAAAGTACAGTGGTACCTCGGTATATGTCATTAAACTGGTCCAGGTCCTTGGATGTATACTAAGAAACAAAGGAAAAAGAATGGTAAAAATATATTTACGTGTGCCCTTGCTGATAATTGGCAGTACGTGGGCAATGAGTTTGTGCATACACAAATTCAAAATAACAAGTCAAAGAATTGCACAAGCTTGGTATCCATATACATATCAACCTGTTTTCACTTAAAACAAAATTCAGAGAATTGCACAAACTAGGCATTGTGCACTCCCTTGAATTTGTTCATGTACACATTGATGTATTTTCACTTAAAAAGTCAAAAGAGCAGCCAACAAAAAATATATAATCTCAGTAAACTACATTTTAAGTTAAGTTAACAATGAAATAACATAAAGACGGAAATTCATCTTAACACTACATAAAGGAAATATCCACTTACGTTATTTACAGATTTCCCTGTCTTCAGTCAAACAAAACTCCTTAACAGCATCCAAAAACTTCCTAAAATTGTCTGAACTAGAATCTATGTACTGGTCTCACCACATAAATTCACAAAAATAAGAGTAAAAAATTTTCTCTTTAGTGATGATATCCTCTGACGTTCAACCATACACATTTCCTTCTTACAAACAGGATACTTATAATAGCAACTAAGTAAACCTTCATATACACACCAGCCAATTAATGCGCTTTTTTCCCTTTCATTCGAAAACGCACAGAAACTTCAAGTTAATCTTATAACATTCAGCCATTTTACCGTGTAAACCACAAAATAACAATATACCCAAATCCATCCTATGATTCAAATTCACCGCAATCTTGCAACCAATTATGTGACAATAGGATTTCCATAGCATTCCATCAACAACTTGGCGGTAAATGAAATAACTCCGATAATCCAAGGAACACCCTTCAATGTACTCTAATCAAAATAATTAATCCATTCTATAGCAAAAGATTGTATTGTTATTATTGAAATACTTTATTCTAAAATACAAATGCAAATGAAATATGTACCCTATATAAATGAAATACTGTACATAAGCATTTTTCTGTTTCCGAGATCAAAAGCATTTTCTCAATGTATTTTAATGTCTCTTATTTGTTTGTAATATTCTTATTTGTTTGTAATAATTTAATGTCTCTTATTTGTTTGTCTCTTAATGTTTGGTAATCGAATTTACCCCCTTTGCAATATTAGTCAATTTAATCATGTCTCTGTTTTTCACAACTATAGATACGGTCATTCTCAGCATACAGTATGCAATAGCCAACTCTAGGATACTCTGGCCATCTTTGTGCTTTCTAATGATATCCTTTTCATCTCCACGGGGATCCTAACAATATTCTTTGTTGTTTGACTCTCCTCATTAACTTCATTAAAACTCATTAACATATTTATAAAAATTATATATAAAAAAAATCATGTTAAAATTCATACTTGCAGTGTGGGTTGTTTACTGAATAATAACAATAGGCAAACTGATGCTTATGGGCAATCATAACATTGTCTCGAAAGTGCATGTATTTGTGACTCATCACATGCAAAAAGGAGGTTGGATATACGGTTAATCTTTGGATTATGGTAACTTGGCGGTTTTTTGGCAAAAATTTGACGACAAACCCTGCTACAGCAACCTGCTAGTTTTTGTTTGGACGCCATTTTGTTTTCACAAAGTAAAGGCTTTTTTTTTTTACTCAACATTTTTTTCCAACAGTCTGCTAGCCGAATTACGCTTATGTTAGAAGTTTTATGGAACAAAAGTGCTTAATCATGACGAAGATTAGGTGCGAAATTGGGAGAAAGTGCAGAATCGCAAACTGCTTGCCGCGTTTTTAAGAATTGCACATACACGGTATCCATGTATATGTCGACCTATTTTCACTTAAAGAAACATCCCAGAATTGCACAAAAACGGCATTGCGCACACTCTTGACTTTATCCATGTACACTGCTAAAGTCCTAGCTAGTAACCTTTATCGCCTTACCAAAATGTCGCTAAACTACCTGTTACCATATTACCATATTCCAAAGATTAGCCGGATATATTTTAGAGTGAACATATTTGAAGATGCTACTGTGTAACTATTGCAGTACATATCCTATCTCTTAGTACTTTTCATTGCTTAGCCTGTTGATAACTTTTGAGTGGTAAAAATGTATTTCAGGATATTTGTATTTTTTGGTGAAAATTGGCAATGTTTTGGCTCCATTCCTGTTTACGTCCAACACTCTCTCCAGTAAAATAGTGTTCAAAACATAATTAAAACAAAAATATATTCTCAATAAACTACATTTTTAAACAATGAGATGAATGAAGCCACTTAAATTTTCAATTACACACCAGTCGATCAATGTTTTCTTTCCCATTCATTCCAAACTGTACAGAAACTTCACAATCACAATACTACCAGCAGGAATTTTACATTGTAAAGCACAAAATAAGCAACATACTTCCTAACTAGCATCCAATGCATAAATAAGCCCTTACGAGTATTTTCCCAACCGTCAAAATCACCACAATCATGCATTACAGCCAGTCATGTCATAATAGGGTTTTCATAACATTCAACATAAATTACTCAGGTTACCATAAATGAAACAACAACTTAGGAATAATCCAAGAGATACCCTAAAACGTAGACTAACTCTTTTGAATGTATTCAATATTTTCCTATGCCGTTTTGAATATTTTTAAATACAAATGAAAAATTTAAATATGTAAGTCATTTATATGCAATTTAGCACTGGTACTTCCTCATTATTCTGTAAATAATTAAAAGTTAATTACTAGAACTACAACTTTTATAACCCCTTAATCTAATTGAAGTTGTTGCATTTTACTTTTTAGGTGGAAGTACGAGAAGATGAAGAACAAGAAAGAAAATTACAGGAAATTATAGAACTCCTGTTAGCAGCAGGCTATTTTCGAGCAAGAATTAAGGGACTTTCACCTTTTGATAAAGTAATTTTTAAAATATTTCATTTAGAAATTTCTTAAAATATTTATTGTTATTTAGCATAAAGTACAGTATAAAGAATATTTTTGCTCAGTATTAAAAATTTCAGTTTCTTATATAGTTTATAGAGTAATACAAAATAGCAACAAATTAACATGAGGCTGAAAAATGTATATTTTCGGTTTCTTTAAGTAATATTTTATTGTAACTCTTATTGAGAAGAATACTTTATTTACATATGCATTTCTCATTCTCATAAAAAGAAATATTAAAATAGGCTAAAAATTAGAATTAAAAAAAAAATTCAAACCCACCCTGCGCTATAGCTGCAGGATTGAAGCAGAATAAACTTAATTAATTAAATTAAGTATATAATAAGTATCTAAATAATTAGTAAAATGGAATATCTTAAGTATCTAAATTAATTACTAAATTAGAATAAAAGCAAGGCATTTCCTCTATAATATAATAATTGCAACCATGTATAAGAGGTTTAACACAGCATCAAAAGTAATCCAATTAAAAAAAGAATTCACATTAGAACAAACTCAAAAAATAAGGGAAAATATGCAAAATTATACAAATAACTCCTTTATTCAAACTCCAATTCAGAACTTATCAGAGGAAAAGGAATTAAAGCTTCAGGAAAGTTGATTAATATGTTTCGTTCTCCTGGTCCATTTGAGATCAAAAACCATAAAAAGATTTCATCAAATTTTTATTAAAGACTTTAAAATTCATATAAAACCGAAAAACTCGAATCTCAAGTGTACCAGAATTTTCCCTATGCATTTTCGAAACACTTAGAAAAAAGAACAGAATGTTACACAGTGCCAAGATGACAATTAAAATGCCATAGAACTTTACATTACATTGAAATTTGAAAAAAAAAAAAAAAAAAAAAAAAGGTCTTAAACCAGTACAGTCAAAAGTTATTAATCCGGACTCATCGGGACTTCGGCGATTCCGGATTATCGATTTCTCCAGATTATAGATCATCAGTTTAAATCTGGTAAGATGGCATATTATAAGGCAAATAAAATAAAAACATCTGCCCTGAAGATAAGGATAGTGCTGACAGATTAACTTCCAATTCATTGCGCGCCGCGGCGTCCCCCCCCCCCATTTTCCAAATTCTTAAATGTCACTGCGTAATTTACTGAGAGGTGAGCGAAGCCATTTAAATCTTCATTTGCACACCAGTCAATCAATGTTTTCTTTCCTATTTGTTCCAAATCATTCAGAAACTTCAGGTTAGTGTTATCACCAGCAGCCTTTTTATGGAGTAAAGCATAAAGCAAGCAACATACTTCTTAAGTGAAATCCATTGCAGAAAAAAGCCCTGAGAAATATTCTCTCAATGATCAAATTCAGCACCACGATCATACATTACAACTAATCACGTTGTGATAGAGTTTCCAAAACATGCGCCGTAAAATACTCAGGTTACGACAGAGTGGGCCAAATAAGACCTACTAATGTCAAACACATTTAACTCTTAAAATAATCATTTATTTTGATTAATTTTTTTATACATTAAATATATTTTATGGAAATTATGTATGAAATATGACATCAGACAAATGTCCACCATTTTTCTCTATACAGAGATTGGCTCTTTTTAAGGTTTTTTCCCTTACACCATGTAATGTTTTTCGTTGAAGACTCAGTATTTCGTTTTGAATATTCTGCTTCAGCTGTCAAGTAGTCTCTGCTTTGTCTTTTAAATATCCCCATAAAAAAAAGGATTGTGCTCCATTGGCCTAAAAAAGTTTTCATTAATTGTTTCTGGTATTCTCTCCTCATTCTCAAAGAAATATGGGCAAATAACTTTATTGGCCATAATAACGCACCAAACAGTACACTTGAATTAAAATATTGCCAATATTTACGCTGCATCATAACAATTGATCGTTGACAAGAATAGAAAAACTTGATAATTTTAATGCGTTTTTTACTGTATGGTTCCATAATAAATTTCCAAGAATTCATTTATAACCTACAAAAAGAAAAAAATAATTATATTAAAAAAAGTTATTTGTGTTAAACATTGATAGGTCTTATTTGTCCCACACTGTATAACTGAAATAAAACTTGGTGATAAATCTAACAACAGCTTGGAGATAATCCAAGGGGTACCCTAAGATATAGACTATCCCAGTTTCTATGCTGATAAACTTACATATATACAGTTTCTTAATAGTTACAGTTTTAGGTATATAAAATAGTGCAGCTAAGTAACCAGAAAGTAAATAGCAGTTCAAATATCAGTTACAGTTAATTACCACAAAGCTAGAGATACCATAAAGATTACCATTAAGCCACACTTCTAAACAGACCAATAATTTAATGTTCATGTCAGTGCATCAGTGCAAAACAATAATAATATTCTGAATTTATATCAAATTTTTAGGTTGTTGGTGGTATGACATGGTGTATAGAAGTTTGCAATTTTGATATCGATGTGGATCTTCTTTTTCAAGAAAATCTTACCATTGGACAAAAAATGTATGTTTACAAAATTTTCTTATGAAATACTTTTTTATTTTGCATGCATAATAATTTTTTAAAATTCTTCTTTATTATAACAAAAGCATTTGTCAAATGAGGTTATAACTTAACAAAATTTGTGATCTTGAATTCCTAATTGTAATTATATTGCTGTGAAGAATAGAGTAATGTAATGTTTGAAATATTTTATTTTGTAAATGAGTCACAGAAATGTGAACTAATTTGTAAATAAATTTTATCTGTTGAACTTTATTTAAAAATAAAATAAATTTTAAATATAGTCAGGATTTCTCCTTTCATATCTGAGAAAAATAGTTGATATACATTTCGCAGTGTTTGGGAAATATAGTTGTGTAGGATATTATTTGAATCATTATGTATGTTCTTTTGATCTCCTGCTATCAATAATATGCACAGGAAGTAAGAGTTCTTGTATAATTTCAAATATCAGTATGCATTTGCACACAAGCAGCTTGCACACGAGTATAGCTGTATATGATTTTACTTCCTTGTATGAAGTAAAGGATATATTGTAATTGCGAAAAATTTTGGGTATCTCATTTCAAAGAAAATACCTATTTTGACTGTTCTCGAATCCATTTCAACACCTTTTTTGCTGGACATCTGTATGTAGAACAGAATAAAGGACTTTTTTTCCAAATGGTTTCAGTAGGGTTGTTTTCACAACATCTTCACACATATGTATGTATCTCATATAACTGAAAAATGATTGGCCATGGAACATTGAAATTTTGTATATGGAACTGCTATATCATGTAGTTGTGCACCTCTTTTTTTTTTTTTTTTTTTAATTGCAATCAGCCACATCATATGTATATATACACCCACCCTCTTACCCGGCTCGGTGAGCTCTGTTTTTTAATCTTATATATTGGTAAATTGGGCTTTTTTTTTTTTTTTTTTTGCTTTAAAAGTGATTGAATTATGTTGTTTTTGTCGTCTGATTAAGAATTTTATGTCTTTAGTTAATCTGCATGCAGTAGCTATAGATCTATCAACAGTTTAAAAGTGTAAGTTTTGATAGGCCTAACGAGGCAGCTATTTAGTTACATTTGTAAGCTATTAGTAGTATAGTGAATTAAGTCGGTTGGTGCACCAACTTTAGCATCTTTTTACACAGTGATTTTAAAGTTTTGTGCACTGAAATTTTTACCTTTCTGCCTGTTAGGCGAATTGCATGTTTTCTCATAGAAACTCTTTAATTTTAATAGAAAAAATAATAATAATAATAATAATAAATAAATAAACTGTATTTGGTATTTTAGGATTTTCTGTATTTTACAGTTTTTAACAAAAATGTTTTGACATTTGTGCCTTGACACAAAGTGTGAAATATATCTCTAATTAAATTCTAGAAAGAAAGTTTAAACAAAGTGCATTAAAAATTATTATAATTTAATAAGTCATACAAGAAAGTCGTGGTGTCCGCAGATTTTTTTAAAATTCCGTCAGTGGGATGTAGTTAATTCTTTCAGATAGTTTGTGAAATGTATGATCAGTTTTTGTAGGTTAAAAAATAAATCTCTTAAACATACTGAAAATCTCACAACCATGTGTTTCAAATTTTAATACATTTCTGCTGGGTGTAGCAATGCCATATGTGCTGTACTGCTTGTAACTGTGCTAAAGAAGTCTGTGAATCATCTCTGCTGAAGTGCAGACATTCCTGCTTGCAGATATTGCAAGCAGGAATGTTAAAGCTCTATAGGATGAGGAATGGCTGATGAATATAGTTTTAAAAGTCACATCCTGAGAAAAAACAACTTCTTTATGAGAACTTTGGAATAAGTGCTTGAACCAATCTATCATGTCTATATCAGAGTGGTAGCTAAACCCTTGATCTCTCCATATAACTGTGTCCTTTAATGCTTAGGAAGATCATTACTGAAGTGTAGTCAAATTAATGTATTCTGTCGTTAGAAAGCCAAAGTGGTACTCGAATCAGAATCTATTACTGCACTCTTATGTCTGAGTGAGAAACTAATTTGGTTGATCTTTACATTATGGTAACTTGGCGATTTTTTGGCGAAAATTTGGCGACTAACTCTCTTACAGCAACCCTCTATTTTTTTTTCCCCGCCGCCATTTTGTCTTCACGAAGTAAAGACATGTTTCTTTTCTTTTTATCTCCTGAACACATCTTCCAACAATCTACTAGCCGAATTACACTTATGCTAGAAATTTTATCAAACAAAACTGCTTAATCATGACAAATATTCACTGCAAAATTAGGAAAAACTGCACAATACCATCCTCCTTATGCATTTTTCAAAATAACACATACACATAAACCATGTACACGCCGACTTATTTTTACTTAAAAAAACATGAATTGCACAAAAATGGCATTGCGCACACTCTTCACTATATCCATGTACACTGCTTTTTTCTCATAAATTACAAAAATTTCACGAAAATACATGGCAATTTTCTCAATCTTTAAACCTGGTAAAAAGAACATATATGAAATTACCTGATCGCGAAAAAGTATTTACCCTTTACAAATATGAACATTTCCACATATAAAATAAATAAAATATCCAAAAACTTTTACCTCTAAATCATCTATTACATTATACACGTCACCAACGAATTCATACCGCAAACATTACAAATACTTAGTATCAAATATTTAAATTATTTCCATGCACGTTTATTTCAACTTAAACGTATACCAAATTCCTACAAGCATAAAATTCACAAAATAACTATCATTTCTTTAAAATATCACTAAACCATGTACACGTCGACTTATTTTTACTTAAAAAAACATCCCAGAATTGCACAAAAATGGCATTGCGCACACTCTTCACTATATCCATGTACACTGCTTTTTTCTCATAAATTAAAAAAATTTCACGAAAATACATGACAATTTTCTCAATCTTTAAACCCGGTAAAAAGAACATATATGAAATTATATGATCGCGAAAAAGTATTTACCCTTTACAAATATGAACATTTCCACATATAAAATAAATAGAATATCCAAAAACTTTTACCTCTAAATCATCTATTACATTATACACGTCACCAACGAATTCATACCGCAAGCATTACAAATACTTAGTATCAAATATTTAAATTATTTCCATGCACGTTTATTTCAACTTAAACGTATACCAAATTCCTACAAACATAAAATTCACAAAATAACTATCATTCTTTAAAATATCACTAAACCATGTACACGTCGACTTATTTTTACTTAAAAAACATCCCAGAATTGCACAAAAAATGGCATTGCGCACACTCTTCACTATATCCATGTACACTGCTTTTTTCTCATAAATTAAAAAAATTTCACGAAAATACATGACAATTTTCTCAATCTTTAAACCCGGTAAAAAGAACATATATGAAATTATATGATCGCGAAAAAGTATTTACCCTTTACAAATATCACCATTTCCACATATAAAATAAATAGAATATCCAAAAACTTTTACCTCTAAATCATCTATTACATTATACACGTCACCAACGAATTCATACCGCAAGCATTACAAATACTTATTATCAAATATTTAAATTATTTCCATGCACGTTTATTTCAACTTAAACGTATACCAAATTCCTACAAACATAAAATTCACAAAATAACTATCATTTCATTAAAATATAATTAAATTCAAAAACACTACTTAAAATATAAATGAGCACATACATTAAATTAATAAAAATTACCTTACAATCCTAATTACTTTAAACTAAATCATTGCTAATAACAATTTTCCCAATAATACCAAATTCCTTTCCACCTTACATTTAGAACAATGCATAAAAATAATATCCTCAAATAATTAAAAATACTAACTTACCTAATCTTCTTCAGAATCTTGATTACGTGGCGGATACACTTTTCTTCCTTCTGTTTCAGAATCTTTAAAATCATACTTATCTTTCAAAGCAAGATACCAGGTAAAATAAATAACATAATAAAACATCTTTATTTCTCTCTCGCACAACCTTAAAAAACATTTGTTACTATCCTTTTCAATACCACTAAATACCCATTTCGAATTCACTTTAGTTACGGCCATGGGATCCAAAAATTCACAAACCTTATTTCACACAACACAGAATAAAGCCAAATACAAAATTGCCAGATTTTTTCCCGATTAAAGAACAGTAATTCGTGATTAATATCATATGACATATCCCATGATCTCTCATTTCCCTCACACAAAATAATGCGTAATCAGAACTGAATACTACTCACATTCTTAACAAAGTCTAACTAACCTAATCTTCTTCCGAATCTTCCTTACATGGTGTATACACTTTTATTATGGATTTAATAAAGTTACTGAACGATTTTTTTTTTTTTTTTCCGAATTTGATAAAAGAAAAATTCTCTTTATCACATCTACAATTCACTTTAGACAGCGCCATACAATCCCAAAATTATTCAACCCTACTTCACACAACACACAATGAAGCTTAATACAAAATAATATACATCCACAGATACTTGTCCAAATTCCCCCCTTTTCCGATTAAAGAAATGTAATTCGTCCATTAATATCACATGACATATCCCATGATCTCTCATTACCCCCACACAAAATAATGGGTAATTGGAACTGAGTACTGCTCACATTATTACCAAAGTCCCAGGTAGTAACCTTTATCGCCTCAAAATGTCGCCAAACTACCAGTTACCATATTGTAAAGATCAACCACTAATTTTGACACAGTACACATCTTTAAAAGTTATTAAGTGATAATATTAATAATGAATTTTTATTTTGTTCATAGTTTATGTCATAGCATTTTCTGCCCAATTTATGATTTTCAAGTGCTTGTAAATAATATCATTTCAGTAAATTGTGTGAGTAGTAATCTTACTTAATACTTTGTCCGCATGCACGCACCTAAATTTAAATAAAAAATATCATTTAAACTTTTGCTAATGAATGAAATATTTTAATTTGAGGTCATCAAATTCATTAATTCTTTTTAAAATTGAATCACTGTATTCAAAGGGTAAAATAATTTATACTGCCGTAAACAATTTTGAATTTTTTGACTGTGTATTCAGCAACCCTTTGTACTTATGGTTGCTTTTTATCCGACAGAGCTTTGACAGAAAAAATTGTAGCTGTACTCCCCAAAATGAAGTGCCCACACCGTATCGAGCCACATCAAATTCAGGGATTTGATTTTATCCATATATTTCCTGTGATTCAAGTAATTATTTTTACTTTTCTGATTTAAGTTAATGAAAATTCTACTAAGTTGATTTGTTACTGATATGTATGCCATCTCATTAATTTTTATGCTAATTTCCACATATGTATGAAAGTCATATTTGTTTGTATTTAACTGATATAAATAAACAGGACCAAAAATTTTGAAAATGCTCTGAAATATATTTAAACCATTTTCTTACTATGTTTAAAATATAGTTCATTACACAGTGTATTATGCTGTGGCTGGCCATGAGTGCCAGTATGCCTGTTGCTGCTATTCAGTAAAGAACCTGCGTTTTTTAACTCTGAATTTTCAAGTTTTTTTTTTTTTTTTTTTTTTGTGTGTGTGTGTGTGTGTGTTTTCTCACCTAAATATTTTCTAAATTCGTCAAAAGTTAATTTTAGGAAAATTAAGGAGAAAAGTCAAGCAAAGAAGAAAATTGTTAGGATCAATGTGGCAGTGAAAAAAGAGATTGCTGAAAAGTGTGCTTATCCAGGACTTGGCCATTGCATATCTTATGCCAAGTATGATGGTGTCTACAATTGTAAAAAAACAATGATGAGAGAAATAAATTAGTCTCGTTTGCCATAATGCCTCTAACATCCATATAGGATGGCAAACTTTTTATATAAGCTCTCAGAAACATGCAAATGTTGTGGAGAGCCTATAAATCCAGTGGAAAAACTGACCATGATGCTACCCATTCAGATAGATAGATTCACTACCCTTTAGCGCAGCATAGGGTAGGAATCGTGCTCATGTATTTTATACCCCCCCCCCCCGAGTCGAAAATGTCAGAATATAAATCTGAGTCTGTACAATAAGCAACCCTGGAGAGAGTGGAGTATGAAAAGAAAACAAGCCAATTGTGGTATCTGTTTGACGGTCATTTAGTTATTGCTCGCACCAATTTGGTGCCTAAGCAGAGGCTTGCTCGTGGCAACATCTCTGGGCCGAATCAGGTATGTGATGCGGGGTCTTTGAAAAAGTGTCAAGGGCAAAACTTGATTCTATTTCAAGGGAGTGAAATACTGGGGTGACAAAAGAGCTCTTCGGTGGCAAATTCAAGTACTCTTTTGAATATGGGAGTATTGACTGGCTTGATGGACCATCATATAATCCTCCCTCAGCATTTGTTATGCTAATGAGGAGGTGTGACTTTTTGTCGTGATTTGTTTTGAACACATTCGATTGGCGTTGTTGATCATTGCATTGGTGTTCTGTTCAGCTCCATTCGTTTGGCGTAACTAGGTGGGTCATCTGAATACTTGTGCAGTGAAGCACCATGGGTGGCTTGATTGACATAGTTCCTCAGTTTTTCTCCAGGCAGGCGAGTGAAGGAGGTACATGTTGCTATCAAATCTGGTTCACTATTTGGGAGCCGTGAGGTGGAGTCATTGCTCAAGAATTATGCTTGCAGCTGTTATGTTATGCAACAGCTTGTAGCTGTTCTGTACTGGTGTTTAGCGAAGGTTTGCTTGTGGTGACATCTATTGGTCAATTGGAAGTTCTTTGGAAGACACTGGCAAGGTCCTTGGAAGACCATCAAGGACAGAACTTGAATCCATTTTATGGGAGGGAAATACTTCACCTCTTCACAAAAGAGCTCTTCGATGGCGAATTCAAGTAACTCTTTCAAATTCATGAGTGTTTGCTGACTCTGCAGACCACCATAGAATAAAGTAAGCAATGTCATTTCTAACTTTCAAAAAGCACTATTTGGTATCCATTTTAGGCATAGGCAGCGGTGGTCTCAATTGCATACATGTATTTGTGTTCAGTTTGCCCTAAAAATTGTCTTAAGAAGACAGCACAGGACATATTTGAACTGCTGTATTTTATTTTCTTATGGAACTTTTTTTAATTTGACATGCATTTTGTAACCTAATAATCATATATTTTTTTTTAATTTTCAAAATTTGTTTTGTCTCCTGGTAAACTAGAGATACAATATTAGCAAATGATAGATGTCTGAGTGTATTCTTTAGTTTCCTTGCCTAACAAGGTATAAAAGGAAACTGTAGTGTAAGCTGTCAATAATGCAATATAAATTCTCCATACAATTTATAATAATTTTAGTTATATTTCTGTTATTACAAAATTATTTAAGTGTAAATAATAGAATTATAGTGTATTAAAATTATAATTATATTCAATTTTTATAGTAATACTTTTATGGAATTTGCCATTTACTTTTTTAATTCTTGTTAAATTTAAGTGAATACTTTCAAATCAAATTATCCATTAATTAATGTTCAATTTTAATTATTTTTTGAGGAATGATTTAATTTGACTTTACAAATAGTGATTGTGTTGAAGGTTTTTGAACATATTCGGTAATTTATTGTCATTAATTTATTTTGTAGTGGCTTGTAAAAAGAGCAATAGAAACTAGAGAGGAAATGAATGATTATATTAGAGCTTTTTCTGTTTCCCAGTTTCATAAAAGTTATGAAATGCCTGAGGTAAAATTATTTTTCTGGCATCATATGACTTCAGTTTTCCATTGTCTTTTATACTGATTATTTTCTTATGCTGTATTTATTAATGTCTTTTTTTTTTACATGCAGGATCTTGCTTTAAGGTTAACGAAAGAGAAAATGATTGTCGCTTACAAGGAAATTAAGGTTAGCCATATTAGATTTATGTACATTAAACATTTGTAATTTATTTTATTAATCATATGGGTCAGATAGTCAATAGCATTTTTCTAAATATTCATATATATGTTTAAGAAAGCTTTCATCGTATGTCAATTTTGTCTCTCAAGAAACGGAGTTGTAAAATCTCTGAATACTAGTAATTTGACTAGGGTTCAAGTCCCACAAATGGACTTGTGTATGTTGGAGTTTTCAAGATATTTAGGTGTGTAATATGAATATGAACCAGTTTCTCTTTAACCGTTCTCCACAAAGGTATCCCTTCTCTTAGGCAGATAATATTTGCATGCTTTGGTGGAATTCAAATAACCAATCCAGTCATATGTAAATTTTGTCTGAGTTTTATCATTTTGCTTAAAATAAATTTAGATTATACTTTCCTTGAAATTTGTTTTTTGAAAAATTTATGAAACTTCATAACTTTCTGCCAGCTCAGTGATATGTCCGGCGTTTTTTAAGCCATGTACCTCGTGTATAAAAACATGATTTTGACTGACTCTCTGGGGGTCAATGAAATTCTCAAGGGGGCTCAGTGATGATTAAGGAGTCAGTTAGAGATTGATAGGCAAATAATGTACCAGCAATTGATCAACATAATCAAGATTTTACTGGTTAAAACAAAAAAAAAAAAAAAAAAAAAAAAGATAAGTAATTGTTTATTAAAATAAAGCTATAGCATATAGAAAGGAAGAAATCATATAAAATAAATGTAAGGAAGAAATACATAAGAAGTATGTAATTTTTTTAAAAAAAATTATATTATTTTTTTAAATACATAAATTATTTTTATAGTAAGTGTAATATGTAAAAATAAAGCACAAGAACAGAAGAAAACATACCAAAAAAACCTTATTATTATTATTATCCACTAACGGAATTGGAAAAAAAACTGTTTTACTGAACCAACCTTATTGGCTTTTCCTTCTTCTTATCTTACAGAAGCAACATTAGTCAAGTCAGTAGTGTACTACATAAAACACGAAGCAGGTTGAATATTTTTAAATGAGGTGATTTAAGAACTGAATTAAGAAATTCTATGCTAAATATTTAAAAAAATTGCATCAATAAATTAAACGCAGTCATCGCATTGATTGAAATCACACTTTTGTGCATTTATACATATTTTTAATCTAATTTTTATCTTTTAAGTTATTTTATGTGCAATTATTTGTGTTATAAATGTTGTATGCTGTGTCCTATAGAGAAAAATATAAGGGGGTTTGATTGAAGAAAGCCATTCTTTTAAAATGGTTCGATACTAGGAGGTAGGGAATTCCTGGTCTAGAAGGTTTTTATTAATATATTGAAGATTTTTTGTACAATCTATTAAAAATTATTTTAAATTGAATATCCAAAATATATTTAGTAGCATGGCAGCAAACACTCCTTTTTGAGAGAAAAAAAAAATCGTATCTATTTCTGTGTATAATTTGAGCATTTTTGGAACTTTTTCTAAAGCTGAATTATAGAGGTTGGCATGTTTGTAGATCCGCTATTCTTGCAAAAAATGTAGGCACTTTTTTTGTTAGCTGGGCATGAATGATAAATTGCTGAACATGGCACTTTTTGATTTCTTTAATCTATATTTCTTTATGAAAAACGTTTTAAATGCAATAAGATGTTATATTTTCAAAATTATTTATAAATGTTGGTTTGTTGCATGTTCTCAAAATGAAAAGTATGATGTTGCTGAAATTTTGTGTCGTGCTCTCTCCTCTCTCAAGTTTGTTTTTCATTCACAGAGAAACATACTGTTAGAATTTTCAGCAAAAATTATCAACTGTAATTTGAAATTTGTCATATAAGAATATCTCTTCCTGTTAATCTTCCAGATAAAAAGGAAAATGGCACAGAAAATAAGACTAGCACAGATATTACAGTTCATATATAAAATCATATACAAGACAGCAAATGAAAGAAATAAACATGGTTGCTTCAGATAGGGTTACCAGAGTTAAAACTATCATTGTTGGTGTCACATTTTACTGTACAGCGATTTTATTAGATTTAAACCTGGTTGGCAAAATTTTCATCCTCATGGCAAAATGTTTTAAACGCCACAGGAATTTTTTTTTTTTTTTTTTTTTCAATATGGATTTTGAATTTTGTGCAAATTTTTTAAGAAAAAACACATAGTCTGCTTACACACTGATCAGCTTATATTCAGAAATATACAGTATATTGATCAATATTTTTATTACAGTCTTCATAATAGCAATATTCATTATTTAAGCTTTTAATATCAGAAAGCTTTTTTCTAAACTGATATTTCATCTTTAGTTACATATGAATATGCATTCATATGTAACTAAAGATGAAATGGCATATTTCATCTTCAGTATGAAAATTTCTGTAAGATTTATGTATGAGCCCTGAATCTAAACTCAAACTTTAAATTTATTGGTCAATTTGTGTCATGTGTGGGTGGGGGGCTTTGTCTTATTTTTTAAAAGAATGAGCATAAACTTTTACTAGCTATATTGGTTCCAACTGTAGGGATTGTAGAACTGTGTAAAAGTTAGATTTTACAATTTTTTTAAAACTGAATTGTTTTAACTTAAAATGACAAAAGCTGAATATTTTTCTTCTTTAAATGATTTTTTTTCATTATTTTATTATTATTGAAAACATATGTCTGTAACCAGTGGTTTTGAAAATAAAGGCCACATAAGGACTTTTGAATGTAGTGTATAATGAAATACTTTTATGCATTATAAATGTGAACTATTTGACTGCAAGATTGTATATTGAAAATCTAAAACATTGGTGTCACATGATTTTATTGATCTCATTTTCAGAAGTTGGTAATTATACCTTTGTATGATACCTTTATTATGACCAGATACCAAACCCACCTCACAATATATAATTATTTATTTTTATTTGATAAAACGGTAGATGTAATTTTGCTCTTTCTGCCATCAAAATGTGAGATTATTTTGGTTAAATGGTCTCTTTTATTCAACCTCACTTTAACTAGCTTTGCATTTAAGTGGCCATATTTTGATCAAGACTCCCCAAATTCAGTTTTTTGTTGCCAATCTGAGAAAAAGTGTGTTGAGACAACTTAAAATTGAGCAATTAATTTTCAGTTAAGGATCTAACAATGTTTATACGTTCTGGATTATGTGCAATTAATTTGCATACTCTTGTGGATGAAAGTAACTGTAAAAAATACTATGACACCATTTGTTTTCTATCACTGCACATGTTTTCCCGCTTGTATTTTTTATTTTATGTCGATGGTTTCTAATACAGTAGACTCTCGTTTATATATTGTATGTAGAACATTGGATAAGCAAAAAATGTTAGATAAGGAGTTGTTAAGTAAAAGCTTATTGAACATCAAATTATATTATAATTTTACATATTATGAGTGTGATAATGATTTTGACAACCAAACAGGAAAAAATAACTGATGAAAAAAAACTTAGTCACAGAATTATCTAAATTTAAATAGAGCACTGACAGTACTTCAAAAGTTCAGTCCTGTGATGAAGTAAAAATAATTTTTTTTATCGTAGTCTGCTTTCTTGACGAGTACCATTTCTTCACTGCCATGTCTTGCACATCACTATGTCAATTTTTATAGCTTCTTTTTGTTGCTTAATATATTTAATTTCAGTTTCTAGAGCCTTGACTTTGTTGTTGTGTGAAGTTCTGTGTTTAACATTTGATGCTTGATCTTCATCTTGAATTTTGTTTTCATCACAATTGGCAAGAGAGACAATTTATTCATCTGTTATTTCGTATTGATCAACTTCCTTCATCCAACTTTTGATTTCTTGCAAAGATTCATTTTCATATCCAGGGAGACAGTGCATTAAATGTAAAATGTTTTCTTCAGTTTTATCTTTTTTTGTGTGTGTGTATGTGTGTGTTTTCATCTTCACATAGCAGTTTCTTCCATGATTTGGCAGCTGCCATAAACCTTATGCCAGCCCAGGCCCATGCAACCCACCAGTGGCGGCTCGTGGTTAAAATTAGTGGGGGTGCTGTTCCAAAAAAAAAAAAAATTTAACCTTTGTTTTAAAATTGTCTAAAAGGAAATAAACATGTATAAAAAAGAAAATTTATTTTTAAAACTTCATGAAATCTTACAAGAAAAAAATTAAACATTTCTTAATTACTTTAACCAAAATTTTTACAGTTCAATCTTTGTCTATTCATTTAAAAATGAAATCCATTCTTCTTGTTTTAATTTGTGCGAACAGATCAATAATTTTCTCCTTGATCTCTGGATGACAACTGAGGAGATATTTCTTTATTGAAATCAATGCAAGCGCATTTAGTCTTTCCGAATTCCTAGTGCTTCTTAGATAAGTTTTCGTTCTTTTAAATGTTGAAAAGCAGCATTCTGCCTCTCATGTAGTCATGGGAACTCTCAAGAGGATTTTTATCTGTTTCATAATTTCACTAAGAACATCATCTAGATTATTTTCGAAGATAAATTTCAGTAGTTCAATGAATTTGCAGTATTCATGGATATCAGACTTACAATAGAATACTTTTAGCTCAGTTTCAAGCTTTTCTTTGTCAATTATTAAATATGCTTTAGTGGTCAGTAGTATTTCTTCTGTAGAATGTTCATTCCTAAAACTAGCGAAGCATTTCTTGTTTAACAATTTAGCAGCTGCTAAGTGTTTAGTGGAAGAATATTTGTGCATTATATCAATACATAGTATAAAGTCACATATTTCCTTAGCTTCTGCCATCAGTGTCTTTGAAAAATTCTTACAGTACTTTGAGTTTGTTAATTCTAAAATAGCAGTTTTGAAATTTGTTATATATTCGTTAACTTTAAACAACACACTAATTTCTCTGGATTGCATTTAGTTGTATATTATTTCAACATGAGGCTTCTGATAAAAAAGCTCTAACCAAAACTTGAAATTATCATCATATAGGTTTTTTTAAAATTCCTGTTGCTTTTGCAATAGTTTGATCTGCATTTGATGTTGATTGAATTTCAGTAAGGCAATTTTTTTAAGGTTGCAAATTTTCATGAACTCTGTTTATGGTTCGTATGATGAAGTTCCACCTTGTGGAGGAATACCACACGCACAAAGTAAAAAGAAATCACGTTTCCAACAACATGCCAGAATTCCGGCACTGCAAGAGCGACAGTGCTCTTCTCGCTACCCGGTTCGCGTGTTGTTTTCTGTGCGCGCATGCACAGAATAGCCAAACACCACATCGTTGGAACTCTGAAGCGCGCAGTTCCAAACAAAATATTTCATACTTTTTTCACAAAGTAGGGGATGGCAACTGACATTAAGCTTAAGGATTATGTATTGTTAAAGTATAAAGAAAGAATTAAAGACTAAAGGGCACACTATATTAAATATTAAAAATAATAATAAGTGGATATAGGGGTGCTGCAGTTCCACAGTGCTTATTATGAGCCGCCACTGCAACCCACTAAGCAAAATCTCTGACATTGATGCATTTCAATTTTTCAGTCATATTTTCTCCTTCTTTAGTCATTGTGGACAGAAGCTTCCCGCGATAGTTCCTTTTTATCATTTTCAAAATGCCATGATCATAGGTTGGCATGTTGGTTAGAATTGGGAGAAAAGCAGAAACTATGCCTTCATGTTGTGAAGAACTTTTTATTATTATTTGTCCCCTGACCCAAGAGAGGGCACTACCAGCTTTCTCCCTCTTCTCTAGTAGGGGGAAATTTGGACTGGTCCTACACTTTGTTCCTACTGAAGCACGAATTCATCTCTGTCCTGCCTCGTGATGTATTCATAGGTGTACTACAACTTTCATACCTTTTTGCTAAAGTGTTCTTACACCTGTAAAAATGTTTATATTGTGTGACCTACGTCTGATGTTATTTTGTTCCTAATGAACGTGTGTTGAAGTATATATCCTTTCTTGCATTAATAAAAATGGTAATATTACCAAGTATCTTATCGTTTTATCTGCAGCAACAACACATGCCACCAAAATGGCAACCGCAAATGATGACCATAATGTCATCATCTTGAAGTTCCTCTGCATTAGGGTGCATCGGAATATTTTTAAAAATTTAACCACAAAACAACTTTTCTAGGTAAATTATTTTCTTTGAAAGGCTTCTGTGTTGCCATTCCCCAACAATCAAGAGTTGACTGTAGTACTTTTGTTCATTCTAAGTATGCATAAATTGTGTATTAGATGGAAAATATTAGGTATATCAGCTTGCTAAAGTTAACCTTCCAGCACGTGCGTATGCGCAAAAGTTATGACAGATTCAGTTTTTAATGAACATTTTTCGCATATCGAAGCTGAGATGTCTAAAGGACATTTCTATTCCTCTTTTCTACCCTTCCCCACATTATGGAATGTGCCAATAGGAAGTCATTTGACTTTTTTTTTAACTGGGCTTTTGTGCTACGTGGCAGCTTTTTTATAAAAGTTACGGCATGCACGTGGTCATGTTTTAAAATTCGGGAAAAAATTTTTTTCTCAAATATTGTAGTTTTGTGTTATTAATTACCGTGTATTATTTCAATTTGAATATACTTGTATGTAAATTTTATATCAGTTTTCATGGCAAAAAAATATGTGCAGCTAACTGATATTGCTCGGGTTCTTCAAGAATTATCTGATGAAGAAAAGGAAGACAAGGAAACCTTTGGATGGGAGAGAAATGGCGATTTCCATTTCTTATTTTATTTTATTTCTATATTTTAGAAATAAATAAAAACATTAAAGTTAGTTTAAAGTGTGTTTTTTTAACCAGTAAAAGGTAAATTTCCTTCCAGAAGTAAGTAATGCTAAACTTGCTTTTTTTTCCTACCAAGGTGTTTCGCTTTTTTATCGTCTATACTTGTCTTTGAGGAATATTAAAATTAGCTTCGATTTTAAAATATAATTATTAAATAATAAATTAAAAATTTTTTATAATGAAATACATCATCACATTTCCATCTCACTAACATAAGAACTTAAAAATAATTTATTTATATTTGAATGTGATATCATTTGCATTTTGCAATAATAAGATTAATGTTTTATTTCTTAACAAATTTATTATCAATATTCACTCATTTCTATCGTTTTTCGAGCCAAAAATGGTAAAATAACGGATGTCGTAAAAATATGACGTGTGCATGCTCTTGTAAAATTGCCAAGCAGATGGTTAATGAAACTGTAGAGGGGGATTCATTTTTCTCTGTCACTTCTGTTTTAAAATAAAGCTATGTATTTAGAAAAGAGTATCTACGAAAATTTTTAAATGCTGAAAAAAAGATCTGATTAACTCATGTTTAAATCTGTGTTAATAGGATGTTTACCGACCTCAAAGGCTTTTCCGACATCACGCTCCTCATAAATTAAAAGATGAAGAAATTCGAGTTCAAACAACACTGTTAGAATATGGAAAGTAAGAACTTGTTTTTTAACATCTTCTGATGTTATACTATTATTCTTAGTTGATTAAACTTTTTATCCTCAGAGTTTAAGAATTGCTTATCAAAATCTTAAGAGATTTTTTTAGTTTTCATACTTTCTATTTATTTGCATAACAGTTATTTAATACATTAAAAGTCTAATTTTAAAAACTCTTTGAGGATTTCTTATAAACTTTAATTTTCAGGAAATTTGGAAGCACAAAAATTGCTGAAAGCAAAGTAAGTTTTTCTTTTCTGCCTCTTTACTTTTTTCTTTTCTTTCTTTCTTTTTTTTTTTTTTTTTTTTAAATTTAGAAAATATGTATCATTTACTTTTATTATATACATAAACATTCACACATACTTGCTGTACACTTGCTATGAATATGTTAAGTGTTATATCATTTTGATTTGGAATTTTAAATTTACTGCAGTATTATTTTAAATCCATTAACTTGAAAGTAAAGTTTATTATTGGTTCATTCTCATACAATACTATTTTGTAATTTTATCAAGCATTCAATGGGAATTTTAATTTAAAAACAAAATTTTATATAGAAATATGTTTGAATTTTCATTATTTTTCCTAAGAATTTTTATAAAAGTTATAGCATATAATTTTCAGTTTCCTCCTTTATTGAGTTAATTATTTAGATTTGAAACTCAGTGTCTGAGAAGGAGGACATTTGTTTTTGCTTACAAAGCTATAAGTGAATGTGATTCATAAGTTCTCCACAGCAAATTGTTTGTATGTGCTGAGCAGTATTGAAATTATTGCTATTCATTTCTCACTCCTGAAAGAATTGTGTATCCTCAATTTTTTAAAGTGATTTAAATGCTTCTATAATTATGTGAAATTAGCTATATAATTGCTTTCATCAGTAGCTGAGTTAGTAAGACCACCAAACACTAGTAGTTATACATTGAATTTGAACTCTCAGTAGGTATTCTTGCATTTTTCATCATGTATAACAAGGCAGGCCAATTTCAGCTTGAAAATCTTTCATATGAAGGCACATATCTTAGTCTTGGTTATTATTTAATTCTTTAGTAATAAATTTATCTGTTAGGATAACTGCCAGGTCTTCTGGTTTTATTGGGATAATTCATATTCTTTGTTGCATCTGTTGGTCTTTTGATCTGAATTGCTTTAGACATTTGTAGAAATTCAACCAATGTTTTATCAGTTGATATTTATATTTAATTTTATTTTACATTGATATATGATACATTATAAGTTTATCCACGCAACAGTATGTATATCAATCGTTAATTTTATTTTTATCATGCTTAAAAATAATTTATTTAAGCTTTCCTTTCCTATTTCGGATTTTCGAAATACGAAAATGTAAGAAAATTACAAAATGAAATTAACCAAAGAGCATTAAATTTAGAATATATAATTAAGTATTTTGCATTAGAAAATGTTGTAAATAATTCAATAACATGAACCGTGCATTATAAAGTAAATTAAAGTCAATTTAGAATTTTTTTTTTTTTTTTTTAAATGGTAGTGTGCCAAGCCTTCCAATTTTTTTCATCTTTCAAGTTTGGCAGCTATATATTATGAACTCAATATTGTTTTTACTAAATAGCAGCCATATGCTTAATATGCCATAATAGATGTTCTCATGTATTTTGCCATGTGCAATGCACATATTGAAAATTCTTCACAAAGGCCCTTATCAGAAACTGAATGAATTGTCTATTACTAGTTGAATAATTTTCTTGTTAATTAAGTAGTCGTTTGCATGTCTAAAATCTGTTAATTAAAAAATAAAGCAGATTTGTTATGTTAATTTTAATTTATTTAATAAATACGATATGCTTAGAGTATTGGAAATTTGGTTTTAATTATTCCCTCAGTGTTATAATAGTGTCTAATTTTAAGATATTTCTATATTTAGAAGATTTATTTAAGGTATGAGAGCTACTTTATTTATTTCACTCTCAAATTTTTACAAACTGTATTTATTCTTGAGGATTTGTATATATTTGCTTATTTCAACTTATCTTCATTACATAATTTCTGTTTGAATTATTGACACACTGTATATATAACTTATACTGTATAACTTACAAAAGGCAATACTATTTTTCATTTATGTAATGAGACAGAAAAGAAGAAAAACATTTTTGATAAGAAATAATATTTCTATTTAGTTTTCATAATTTCCTTTTTCTTAATCCTTGTTCCTTCTATTTTTTAAGAATATTATTGATTTATTTAATTTATTTACATTAGATTTTATTTTTTGGGTTTAGGAGGAAGATCAGTCTGGTGAAGTTCAAGCAGGTATACAAAAAGCAGCTGAGGAAGAGGTGAAAAATTATGTGATTTTTTTTTTTTTTTTTTTTTTTTTTTTTTATTTTTTAAAGCTGTGCCTCTCTTTCTCTTTTTTTCTTAATTTCTTGCTTAATGTGTGATTTTATCATTTTTTAACTTTTTAACTGACTCAAGTGTTTCTGTTATCAAATGTAACTCCTTTATGCTGTAAATATTGTGATGATATTTTGTTTTTTTGTTTTTGCATGCTGCTTTAGAATCGGATTCAGAATTTGATGAAAAGCATGTCTATTGCAAATGAGCATGAGGTTAGTATTTAACTAAATTAGTTATGTGATATGCTGATTCTTGCTTTTGCAAACTGTCATTGGCTTTTCTGATGACTCGTAACTCATGCTGTATTGTGCTTTTAATCAGCCAATGCTGGAATATTATTTTTTTACAAAAGAAGCTGGTATATGTGATTATCATAGTATATAAATGATAACATAAATTGTGAGCTTTGTTACATAGATTTCAATGATAACAACATCTGGCCAAAAAATAAGAATTTAAAATCATTCAACAAAATGCTGTTTCGCTTTATCATATGAAATGCAGTAAAAACTCTTTAAGATGATAATCTACAGTTTCAGATGATTTTGCCTTCTGTGGAGGTGGTTACTGTAGACAAGGTTGCCACACTATTGACACACAAGGTTGCCACACTATTCCTGGAATGTTGACACACTCCAGGAAAACTGGAAAATGTCAGAGGATTTAAAAATTGACCAAAAAAGTCACAGAATTTAAATATTTTAGTCAAAATCTGGAAAAGTTGGGGGATTTCATACTGCAATTTTCATGGCAGTGTCACTTTCTTGGCAAATCATGTATTACGTGAACGCCATTTGGACAGCTGGCATAGAGCTAGCACCAATCAGATGGCCTTTTAGAAAGGCAAAGCAAGTTTCCAGTAACTTCGAGAATCCAGAGATTCACATGCACATGTGCAGTGCATGTTGAACAAAAGTAACTTCCCCTCATTCTCATGTAAAATAAAAACTTTTCTTCATTCTTAAATGCCTTATTTGTCATTTTGCTGTTAAAAAATAATAATCAGTCATCTAGGCGAACCATTTAATATATCTATATTTGCCAAAATCCCATTGATTTTTGTAATTCAGTTTTAACTCCATAAGTAATTAACTTTATTTTAATGTTATTCATATCATTTAATGTGTCTTCTTCCTTCTAAATTTATTTAATATTAGTTAATACTTTCAGAATTCAAGCAATTTTCTTTGGCCTACTTGTGAAACTAATTCTAGCAGTAATATGACATACATACGAAATTACACTTTTTTTACTTATGTATGCTGCTAAATAATATAAAATATTGAATTTATTTAAAAATCTTAAATAGATTTCTTTGGACTTTAGCTGCAAAATGTCTGCAGAAAGACATTTTAAAATACTGATTCGGCAGATTCTAATCTCAATTCTCAGTGGAGAAAACAATTCCTATTATAGTTCTAAAGTAATGCTTTGGGGATGTTATATATATATATGTATATTTAATTGGCAAATTTTTGTGTTTTCAAGTGGTACCATAATTAATTTACCCTCAGCACAGTCAGCACGCACTGCACAGATAGTCTGAAATTTTCTTGAAACACACTTGGAAAACCTGAAAAAGTCAAGAAATTTTATTCTCCTGTTTGAGTTGCAACTCTGTGTAGAGAAGTAACGTCCAGTTGCTAGTGTTGATTTATGTTATGAATACTAGTCATTTTAAAAGGTGGTTGCTGTCAAATGTTTCACTGCATTGCTTTACAGATTGTATACTAATGCTGTATTATTTTGCAAATAATATAGTATTTCCAAAATATACATTTTATGAAAATTACACAAACTATTTTGAATGTATTGATTTATTCATATACTAAAGCTTTGACATTCATGAGAAAGGAATATAATGGAATATATAAAATTTACTATTAAATTTAAAAATACATGTATAGTTATCAAGAATACTTTAATGCAAATAAAAAAATTGCTGTTTTTTTTGGGGGGGAGCATGTTTATACCCAGTTGTGGAAGTGTTATTTAATTAAATATTTTTTAAAGTCATCTATCTGTACTTACTTAATATGAGTAATTTGAAAGCAATAAATGCATTTCTTAATAACGTAAATCTTTACTTTGTTTTTTACAAGACTAACAAAATTTTAAATAAATGTTTTCTAAAAGTGATGTAATTTAAAATACATTTAATTTATAATCTATACCATTGAAAATAATAAACATTTGCTGCATTATTATGAAAGATGTTTTCAATTCCATGTATTATGCACCTCAAGAGACAAAACCTTTTTTTTTTTTTTTTTTTTAACTTGATCAAAAACACTTTGTTTCTCTTTTTCTAATAAGCCTATTGATATTTTTTCAGACAATATAGGTAACTTTAAAAAATTATATAAAGTTATTAAAGTTGAATTTAGCTTATACCCTTGTGTGGTCTAAATTGTGTTAAAATTATATTCTAGTATTCTTTCATGACCAGTCTTATTATTTTACTTCTATGTTCTACTAATTGTTTTTGATTCATTTCATCAAGAATGATTTAGACATAAAATCTTATAACCTTCATTGATACTTATGTGTTTCCTTCACTTAAGTTTTCAAACAACTGGAAACCAGAAGTAATTTTAACAAAGGCTATTATCTCATAATTTGTATAACTCTACTATACTATATATCAAGAATAAATTTGTGTAACCATAAATTAATTTTAAGATTGAAATTTTATTTCAAATTAAAAAATTACAAATTTTCCCCTGAAAATTGCAAGCATTTTTCTTCTTTAGTTCTAGTTAGAGAATTTTCCTGTTGGGCAATATATGGATAATCTGCACATGAATAATTGAAAGTTCATTGTGCTGGGTTTTGTATTAAAGTGATCTAAATTTTGTTATTATTATTTTTGGGGGAAAATTTCCATTAAATGACCAAATTTAAAATACTGTGGAACTGCTTTTTAGCTATGTTACAAAAATATTAAGAAATATCTACATTGCTTCCGTTTTTAGCATCTTATTTTGTTATTCATCTCTCCTCATTTTCATTTATAATTGATAGTTTTTATCATGTTCTTACCAGGTACCTAAAAAAGTTTGTGTTATTGTTGTTAATGAGAAATAATGACTGAATAATTTTATTCAGCAGAATAATCTCCTGCAACTTGAATTATGTGTTTCCAACAAGTTACAGGTCCCATGTTTAAAAGGTTCTTGTCCTTGGAGCCAAAAAATTGGACTGTTGCCTATGTGGCGTATTTCAGGTGTGGAACTGCTTCTTTTTGGCCATGATTATCCATGGCCAAAATTGAATAATATTTAGAGAGTAAGGCAGATAATGCAAAACTTCTCATCCAGATGGCCTTGTGGCCTTTATTATCACCTTGTGGGTCACTTATACCATACAAGGTCTGGTGTTCTCTTGAAAAAGCATCAGTCATTTTTTATTGACTAGTACTGATTGCTTCTGATGCAGTGCAGCTGCGGCCTATTCGCAATTGAGATGAGTATAAATCACCTGTGTTAATCTTGCCAGTCTAGGAATTTAAACTGTGCAATACTAGCAGTGGACATAGAGCAGTGCCTTCTGTTGGTAAATGTTTTGTTTGGCAGCAAATGCCTCAGAACCAGAGGATGACCGATATTTTCTTTTGCAGTTACTGTGTAACATTTGTTTCTTGTAGTCAGTATATGATCCAGGAATGAAGCTTTCTTGGTATGTACCAGCAATAAGCAGCAAATGTGAGCTGCTGGAGTTTGTTTTCTTGGTCAATATATGAGGCACCTACTTTCTGAGCTTTTATGTCTTCTTAAAGCAAGTCTAATCAAATGGTTTACTCTGATATTCTAAACTTTGGTGTAGATCATGGTTTCTTAAACGTTTTGGTGTGAGGACCGTAAAATGTTTACAAAACTTTTGTGGGATCCCATAAGCATTACGCAAATCCGACACATGCGTGAGTGAAACTATCAGTTTCTTGTACTATAATATACTATTGCAGTTTTAGGTCATTGTTTCTGTTATAAAAAAAAATGCCTCGAAACATGTTTTTTTTTTTTTTTTGTCTGTATACATATTTTTACATCGACATCAAACTGCGCAAGTCTGCACAGTTACAGCATCAAAATCATGAACTAGCAAAAAAGCATAAAAATGTAATAATAATAATTTTCAATTTAAATGGACCGATTCCAAAACAGCATCTGAAACAGAAGCAATCAAACATGTGAAAAATAATAAATGAAAATTTGATTTGTAAAACATAAATATGAATAATAAATAATAGAAACAGGAGTTAATTCTTAAAATCTGTAACATTACAACATCAGAAGAGTTTAAATGAAATTTTAAAGAGTAAGAATTTAAAGAGTAAATAAAGAGTTTAAAAATATATTCAGCCTGTTTTAAAATGTGCTAATTTTAAAATGTGCTTAAATAGACTATAAATTAAACTGGTTAATGTTAATGAAAGTAATTTGAAAAAAAAATTCTATTAAATATGGTGTAGTAAAATTGAATAATTTGTAAAAGCATAAAAGATTTTGGATTATAAAAGATATTCAAAAGTAACTGCCTTGGAATTAAGTACAAGTGAAGCATCAGCTTGTTTTCAGTTCAATGTATAGAAAAGTTGTAGTACTTAGTTCAACTACTATATATACACTGGAGTAGGGGGGGGGGAAATCCAAACACCAAGAAACAACGTAGAGTAATGA